ATGAACTTGATGTGTCCTATATGCTAAAAATAACTTTTTTGAAGCCATAATCTTGAAATGAGAGATAAACTTCATATTTGGTATGCATACTTCACTAATCAAGTTCTTTCAAATGACACCAAGATCAATGATCTTGTGACCTTCACTGTGACCAATAAGCTAAAAATATGTTGTTTTTTTTTAACTTTGTTGCCGCCGGGCGCATAGTGTTTCATAAACACATCTTGTTTTTATTCTTATTGTATTATATGCATGTACACCCGCTTAGGTGTGCATAATTTTCTTTAAAGTTTGGACTGTGTGCTGTTTCTTGTCTGAAGTCTCATTTGCACATTATTACAAGTAAATGTCTGAAATTCTTCCCTTCATTAAAAAATATATCAACAGTAATATTATATTTGGATTCCTATACAAACTGATACTTTGTTTGTACAGGGAGAAAAATGCACATATAAATGAATCTTAATGAGTGAATATTATAATGCAAAGTAATGTGAAGCCTTTTCTCTGTCACAAATGTAAACGTATCTATTCGCATAAGACAAGACCGCAAAGAGATCCTGTTAACGCATTTTAGCCGAATGATGCACACTGTTCCCGATTTTTCGTTTTTATTTTTAACTTAGCTATGTGCTAAGATATTAAGAAAAAAACTTTACAAAAGATTCTTTAAAAAAAAAATGACGGCAAGATCCAACCTTTATTAAAGAAAATTCAGAGAGAAAATGATATATTAATTGTTGTTCAAGTTATGGTTGCACCGCTATGGACATACAGCTTTAGACAGACGCACAAATAAATAGGAAGTTGACATCGGATTCGTACAACTAAATTGTTTCAAAGATCTGATGTGTCGCCTGCTTTGTAGCTTCAATAAATATGTAAATTAGAGTTGTCAGCTATTTAGCATTATAGTTCATCCATAAAGCCTATAAAGAAGAAAGCATCATGATTAGAATAAGGCTGCAAAAAAATCTGACAATCAAAGTAAATATGGTTCTCCAACCTTAAATATTTATCATTTTATACGAAGAGATATAAAGAGATAAAGAGATCTCTCAGTCTGTCTTAATTGCAATTGTCAGTTTTTACGATATTTATAAAACTGTTTGTAAAGTAGGTAAGTGGACAAGGTCAAAAGGTCTGTAAGGCTGATATTTTCATAATGTTTTAACACAAACAGTACACATGCTAAATAGCATAGACTTGTCTCTCAAATGTTAAAAATATTCTGTATATTGGTAGTTTGAATTTATTCACAGCACGTCAAAGATCAAAGTCTGGAGTTCGATTAGCAAGGTAATTCAAAATACGTAGTTCCCAATAATATAAATGCAAAAATCGTGAACGATGTACAAACGGCATCTTTAACTACAATTTATTCGTTGTTTTCAAAAAATACAAATATTTACATAGTTCTCAAGATAAAATTAAGCATTTACAATTACAAAGTCCATAAAGACTTTTCTTGAGAAAGTCCACAAATAAATATAAAAATAAAAAAAAATACATGTAAAATGACTATTTTTCTATATTTCTTTTAAATTTCTGCTTCTCAGATACCATGGATTAGTTGTTAAGAACTTACTGCAGTAAGAATTTATTTTTTGATATACTAATATGTATAATTCGTATTTAAAAATGCAAAGGTCTAAAATTGAGCATTTTACAACGTAATTTCAAATTTACTGTGACAATCACTAAAAAAATTCAAATAATTTTCAAAGTTTTCTAGGTATTTTTAGAAGATTTTAAACACCATTTTATGTTACAGCGAAATGTAAATTTTAAAAATATGCATTTTTTACTTAAAAGTTCTTTCAAATTCTTAAATGGAAATCAAAAAACATACCAGAATTTTTTTATGATATTATATACCTGCAAGTTACTGCTAAACCGTATTTGAGCCTGCAAATAGAAAATCTGTATATGTATCATCTACAGTATTTTAAAACTATTACTATTAGCTATAATACATATGCATTTGTGGTACAGAAAACCTTCATATATGATTATTCCAAAGATCATAGGCCATTCTCTGACCTAATTACACGGTATAATTATATCCTTATATATAATGAGTAGCCCTGCTTAATTAAATATATTTTGTCATGTAAAAAAAGTGAAAAAAAAAGCCAAGTAAAACAATGCTTGTTTATATAATTTAAAATTTATTTACTAAAAATGATGCATGCATGTTTTAGTTCAGTCCTTTGATGATTTTACATAAACAATCGTTATTTAATCAGCTGCGTAGAATAGTCTCAAAGTCTTCCGTATTTTTTCATGAAGGCCATCAATCTTCATCCAAAATTCCTTATGGAAGACAGTATTCTTTTTTTTTCTCTCTCTAATACCTTTACGCCCATTACATGTACAAGTCTGATAGAAAAAAAAACAGTGCATAAACATATCTGTAAATATAAAACCTCAGTCCATCGTGGATCATGAAGTACCTGTAAGTTGTTGCGATTGTTTAAGTGTCCCGAGATAATTAACTGGCGTTAAAGCAAATTTTAAATATAGCAGGTTCATAAATTGTCCAAATACAAAAACATGATGGAAATTTTTATTCATTTTCAAAATTATTCCAGTTTGCATGTCGCAGAGGTTATTTAAAGCGTTTCCTATATATTCGCGAAATTACTTGGAATTCGCTTTATTTTCGCGTAATTTAGCGAGTAAGCAAAAATTTAATTATCGCGTAAATTGATATTCCTTAAATATTTATAGACCAATGACTACAAAAAATTTATCTCGCTTAAAAAGAGTAAACAAGTATCTCGCGAAAATAATTTGAGGCTAAAGTTTAATGATCTACAGTGTCTTTTCCAAGGCATATTATAACTAGATGTCATCTAATGTGACGTGTATATGTTATGAGTAATTTGCCTAACTATTATTTATATCCTATCTTTCATATTGTTTTCACAAGATAAAATCTATATATTATGATCGGTTGTGAAGGAGATGCTTTGCGACGCTTTTGTTATTTCTTGCACCCCCTCTGCACGTATTGGTGAATTGGCGGAATGTTCAGATTCATAGGTGGTTTCTTTCATTTTTTTTCAGTTTTCTTAATGCGTTCTCTGTCCACAGAACTAAAGTCCTCCTGTTAGGTTTTATTTTCCTACATCTCCTTCTTCTCGATGAAAATGTGTTGTTAGTAACATTCCTTTCATTCCTTCAGTGGTCAATCTGATCCCCATTAGCCTTAAGAACATGGCTTTGTTGTTGACTTTGTTTGGAAACCACAGCTAAAGGGGGGGTCAAAGGTTATATCCTGGTGAGTTTTTGCTTCTGTTCTCAATAATAGCCTTAAACGAGAAAACCCTTCAAGGTTATGCTCTTTCTGGTCTCTTTAATCTTATGCCAAAGTCCAGATGCTTTCTGCTTGTGTTATTGTCTGTTAGTTTGTAAAATTATGGCACCTGGTCCACCGCCATAAAACTTTGAAAACTTTGAAGTTTAGAAAATACTCAGACTTAAGACTTTTATGGTGGTGGGACTTGATCACATGTTTAGGGGTTTTAGAGATTCGAGTTTGTTCTATACTACTGATTTATATTGTTAAATGGACATATTAACTTGATTACAGTCTTTTATCTCCAAATTTCACATTCCAATTTTCCTGACACTTTATGAGTGAAACTGTTAATTGTTTGCATCTCACTTCCTCTTGGCCTTAAATCATTATATAACTGTCCTTTTCCTTTGCATCAAAAAGTTGCATTGTCTTGTTTTTGTTAATGAGTTGTCACAAAATTTCAGATTGTTAAAGCTTAGTCTTTTTGAGATATCGTGCGGAAATTTATTGCTTTGACACCTGCACTCTTTCTTGTGTGGCTTCCTACCTCTTTTAATCTGAAATTTTGACATGAGTTTAGTCTTCATTTTCCCATATTATTCCATCATCAACAGCTGAGGAATTATGGTATGAATCTGTTAATATTTAACATTTAAATATATCAACCTAAGCCATAATTTTATTCCTTCATTTACCTTCTTCAAATACAACCCTTGAATTTAAAAACAAGAGGAAAGAATACAATCACAGCCTGATAAAAAGATGATTATCTTAACCATCTCTTCTGTATTATTATTGAGTTTACTTGCTAGATTTTTATATTAAATTGACAATTTGCAGATTTCTTTAAATAGCGATTATAAATTTAAACTATAATTCAATATAATAAATTATTGATAATGAAACAAATCATGAAAAAAAGAAATTATATGCGCACTCCTCCATGGCAGCTGATCCTACCTCTGGTGTTTTAGAGGTCCAAATTTGCTCTGCTTCAATTTTGTATGCACTTTTGAGGTTGAATACTGTTTGTTATCTCCATATATTTCATATAAGAAACTATATAGAATAAACCTAATGATTTCAATATTGATTTTACAGATTTTTTTGTAGCAATATATGTTATAACCCTTTAAAACAATCAATTCCTTGTATTTAACTTTCAAATGAATCATCGAATAGTTTTAAATCAGGCAGATTCATAGCTATCATCACATTGTTTAAATTTTCTGGCATAGAGTTTAAATCACAGTCTAAATTATGCTGACTGGCGTTTTAATACATATTGTAAAGCCATTATTTACATCAAATTATCTAAGATTGTTTTTTAATTGTCAGATCAAGGGGCACGTACACGGCGGGTTTGACCGTTCGACAGAGGTTTCTTCCTCCATCACGACATTTGTTTCCACCGTGTTTGCTCTACTCTCAATTTGCATTATTTAATTGGAATGCTCGTTATCTCCATATTTTATAGATGAAAGACAAATAGGCGGTACTTCATGGTTTAATAACTCAAAGCTTAACATATTTCTAAAACATAAATTGCTTTTTGACCAATGGAAAAGAATTTCTATTAGCGGAATGCATGATGAAATAATCTCACGAATGATACTTATTAATGAATAAACTGAATTATATATGTCTATTTAATTAAATGTAACATAATCAATTTATACCACTGCAAGTGTTCTTCACTGAGACAGAGACGGAAATGTCTCAATAAAGTAAAACAAATGCAAGTTGTCCACGATTACAAAGATTGATCTGAATGGAAGAGAATGGCCAATAAAGAGGAAATTATGACAGAAAGCACAAAGAATACTACATATGATGCAATTTTATCTTCAACATGCAATAAAATGGAACAGATAAATAATGTAAGTATTAAATTGTTATTATCATGTTTAATGCTAACATGGTAAGTTTATTCTATTACATTAATTTCATTTTTATATATATCAGAGCAATTAAAATTACTCTTGCTATATTTCGGTACAACTAAGGATAAATGAACAGAGGCAATATAAAATAAATTTCATATTCCGTTAATTTTGCTATAAATGGCTTAATTTTACCATGTTCACTCTCACAAATTAATAAATGTCTTTTTTCACTATGTGCTATATATAATATTGGTGATATGACTCATTTTATACAACCATGAATTAAAGCAAAAGATAAAAAAGTATAATGTGAATTACATCCGTTATTACGACCATCAAAATATTATCATTTATTTGGTTTTTGTTATTACTTATATGACAATAAAAACCATACGTTAATTATACGATCAGACCATGTGCATATATATTTAAATTACTGAAATTAACAATTTTATCCCCTTTGGAAGACTAAACCAAAAAAAAAAATCTTCACAAAATGAAATATACTCTCCCCGCCCCACCAAATCCCCTTCAAAAATTGTCTTTATGCAAGACGACGAAAATATTGCTTTCAATGCAAACACCCCTGTTTGATATTTATCATTTTGTTAACCTTCATCGACAAAGCTTGAGGAGAAAACAAAATTAAGTAATTCCGGCTTCTTTACAAATGTGACATGTCATATAAAATGATTTAATATCATGTAGGTTTCCTTGGCGAAATTTAAAAAAATATATGTGTGAACATGAAATCTAGTTTATTTCTTATACTTGATCTACACTCATATACATATGATGAAAGTTATCAATACAGAATATCTTTTTAAAAACTAAACATATTCAGCGAAGGTCTGCTTCAAGTGTCAAAAAAAATCCTGAAAAACTTAATTATAATTGTCATTTCGTTGCCATTGTAAATTTCTTTTTTTAATAGAATTTTCACTTCATTTCTAACCTTCTCTTGAAAAGAAAATGAAAGGAAACTCATTGAAAGGCGAAATGATTCTTTTTCTTTCCGTTTACACTTCTTAGAAGCAGTTTGGAAAAATAATTTTGTATTTCATACCACATTACAATTCACCAGAGTTAAAAGAAAATACGTTGGTACTTCCATAGGAGTTCGCGTACCTATCAATTTTATCGAAATTTTCAGTAAATTAAAAATATACGTAATACCTATAATAATATTATTATAGGTATTACTTATTTTTTTAATTTACTGAAAATTTCGGTACTTCTCGCTTTGGAAATATTATAAATACCAAGAAGAACAAAGGTTTTAGGATGCAAATTGAATTTACTAAATTTACAGTTGTGATAATAAATAAAAATGGATCCAATCAATAAATCAAATAATCAATCATATATGTCCTATATCTATTCTTCTTTTCATATAAACATGACTTTTAATAAAACTATAATCTTTAATTTTGGTTTGATTTGTCAGTCTTGTTATTCCAACTAATGTTCATTGTAGAGCAAATATCATTCAGATATTTCCTGTGGATGCAAACAATCATATTTCATTTTTTAACTGTTCAATGTCATTTCTGCAATGTATCTCGTATCGAACACTAATATTGATGATACATTCAATGTTAATGCTATGGTATTATCTTTTTTTTTTTTACAATCTTTCAAACTAATGACTCTTGATGAATATATGTGTATTTCAATACAAAGATGCGGGGAGAAATAGACGACAGAATGAACATAAGTCAATACCATACAAATAAAAGACAATCCCAGCAACTGAATGGAGAACCAGCGGACTTTGAACTTGAAGAATCAATGTTTTCAGCGCTGATGGAGGATCCATCGCTAGATTTCATGGAACTTCATCATGTTCCTTTATCTGACGAATTACCTCACGAAATCACTCACACGGATGTAAGCACAACAAAATGACTATACGTAAAGTGATATTTTTATTATCCGGTTAAAATAATCAAAATAGAGGGACAGCCCATAATGTCACTTTCAATTGAGAAAATATGCTGATGACTTCATAATGTCTACATGTAGTGTTCGATGTAATTTGTGAAAAGGTATCGTTGAAAATGTAAAAAATAATAGCAAACAAGACTAATAATTTAAAACTTGTAATTGTTTGTCTCTTAGTTTTCTAGATCTGCAGGAATAAATAAGAACGGAACATCAATGAAATTATTGATTTTTTACCTTGAATACTGTTTGTGATCTCCATTTATTTCTTATATTGTAATTTGATACTTTAGAAAGCTAATGTGAAATAATTTTTATATTGCCTTAACAATCCTGTTAAAGTAACTGTTGCAGCTTAGATTTCTATAAAACTATTTCTTTTGAAGCTTCGTTTTGAAGACTACTATAAAAGATTAACGCAAAATATCAAGCTCAAGTTTGTAAAAGAATATTTTGTGTAATCGTATCCCTCTCTTATAAGGTGAATTTTATATGACAACTCCGATATTAAAATAAAATATTATTTAAATATCCTTTGACTCTTTCACTTTTCATTTCAAATAAAAGATTTTTTAATCTTATTTCAGGTAGATGCTTTAATTGGTGATGTCACCCAAATAGACTCGAAATTCAATTCCAGTCAGCAAATAAATGGGCAATTTGCATCGAGCTCAATGGTAAATCTTAATCTGAAAAGATGCACGAATTTCCTTATTGACAATATATTCCCAATTTTTGTAGACAAGGTGTTGTTTTCGAATTACAATCGATACTTATCATGTCCCTTTTAACAACCGACATGTTTTGTATTCTTTATATTTTAAATATTTGTAATGATTCTATCAATTTCGTAAAAAAAAATAACTCTTGAAAGTTTATTCCTATGGGTAATATATTATTTTCAAAAAAAAACCTAAAAATTTAAAGTTTGCTCTGTTTGATCACATCTAAATATTGCATGTTTCCCACTCATCACATGCATTGAACATCACAGTTTAGATAATAACATAATAACATAACTTATTATATAGCTAATAAATACTACTAAATATCTAGTGAATCTTAGCGTTCAATATCTTTACGTTTTATTGAATGCTGAGTTTCGTATAATTATGAGTATGCCCAAAACATTCCGAATACGAGCGTTCAATATCGAACGTTCAGTTGTAAACAAAAAATGTCGCCCGAGTTATTGAACATATATTGGTGAATATTGGCACTCGTTGGCTGTACAAATGCACGATCTTGCCAATATTCACCAATATAAGTTCAATAACCCTATCATATCATTCTTTTTAAATGTTCTTTTTTATTCTTTCACCTCTCACTTAACTTAAACAGGATATTCTTTATCTTAATTAAGGTAGATCCTTTTGTCGGTTACCTCCCAAATTCAGATACAACTTGCGATGCCAATCAGCAAACAAATGGACAATTTGTATCCAGGTCAATGGTAATTTTTTTCTTTTTTATTTCTTAAACTAAGAAGATTTATACTTATATTTAAAAAGAAAACTCTGTTGAAAGTTTGCTCTTACTTTCAATTCTACACTATGATAAATCGATGACGTTTCATAAGTGAACAATAATTATTTCATTCGATATATCTCAGTGAAGTCGAAAAAAAAGCCACAAGAACATATTGTAAGAACGATGAATTTTTAAACCAAGGAAAGCTTGAGACAAATAAGTTGATGTTACAAGAATTTCAACAAGCTCGTTTACAGTCAGCATTTCACCGGTAATCCAAAATTACATGGTTGTTACAATGACCTCTTCTTGCAAATACAATTTATCTTTGATTCATGCTTTGACTGACATGTTTCATACCAATTTAAGGCCTTTTTTAATCAGTTAATTAAATTACAGATAATTCGCTTGATGATCAACTAATAAGACCCACGGCGGGTGGGAATGAACGGCAGGGGATGCTAATTCCTCCTACGTTCCAAGTTACAATGAATCTATGATGTACACCCTGTTCCTTATTTACATTGTTTAATTTTTTTTAAATCAATGTTCATTTAATTTATTTTTTTTCAAATCTTTAGCTGTCAACTAATTTGGTAAAGTTTTAAAATTTGATCATTTTTGTATATCTTTATATGGATCTCCTTTTAAATGAATTGAAATAGCTAAAAATGGCTACCCCCAGGTTCATTGACATTTTTTGGCCTGATAGATGAATGATGGCAAAGATAATGTTGTATTTCAGAATCACGGAGACGATGGGAATTATGTTAATCCACAAGAAAGTGAGCCAAGTATAGCTTCTGACCTACAGGAAATGGAAGTCAGGAGAAAAGACAAGTTAAAAAAAGACAATCATAATATCAGTAAGCGTTTTCCCGCACCTTTTAATTAGAAAAAAAATCTTGAATTTATTCCATATTTTTTTTTTACCATATACTGATTTTTAAAAGAATTGAATTGGAATGTTTTTATAACTTATTTTTTTTCTAGTTGAGCGAAGACGGCGATACCACATAAACGACAGAATAAAAGAACTGGCTTCTTTACTTCCAACATCAACACCACAGTAATTATTTTGTGAAACAGTAATCATTTTGTGACACAGTAATTATTATGTGCCACAGTAATTATTTTGTGACCTTTAAAGGAAACAAGGCATTCATATTTGCATATTATAGATAGGAAAAACGTAATTGATAAACAATCAAAAAATTTTTAGGATTTCTGCCATTTTAACGCATCTCTTTGTCTAGATTTTTATGAAAGATAAGTGAATTCGATACAGTAAAAATTGATTATAAGAAAGTCATTGGGACATCCAATTTGACAACTATGTCACGAAGATTCTTTTTCTCCATGAAATGAAAGGTCGCCTATCAGATGTACTCATTCCTCATAACTGACATCCTTTTATGAATGAGTTCTTTATAAGAGAGTTTTACTGTACTACCACAATTGATTTTATTCAGGTCAATGAAACTTCACAAGGGTTCAATTTTAAAAGCATCAGTGGAATACTTGAAAGATCTTAAGAAAGACAAAGAAAAGTTGGCAAGATGTGAAGCCAGACAGAAAGAAATGGAAGCAAAATATCAGAAAATTCTGATAAGAGAGTTTGTAAGGGTTTTTATTTTACGATGGACAATGCAAAACATAATGAATTCAATACCGGTATTTAATGATATTCAAAAAATCAGGTATCAGGAATTATATGCGAAAGGTAAACTAGAAAAAAATCAAAATTGTAATTTCATGTAAGCTAATATTTTCCAGGCATAAATACATAGTTTATGATGACAAAAAGTGAATTCTTTTAGATATTCAAGTTTATAGATATTAATGTCTTTCTTAATCGAAATTGAAGGTATTCAAAATATATGAACTTTTCCTCCTAGCAAATCGAGCTGAAAATGAGACTTCATGGACTTTCGGTGGAATTAGATTTCAAACGAGGAATGGAAAAAAAGAAAACAAAGAAGAGTTTCGACAAAGTCGACGAAATAGTAGAAAATTTGATTGAGCAAAGTATGCAGCTTACATCAGAAAATATTTGTTTTTCAACTAGCTCCTCTTCAAAAGTACAGGAAAAATCCAAAAAATATAATAACAACAAAAATATAGAGCATCCAAGAGCAAAAGCAGTCTTAGAAAAGTTTATCACCAAGAAATTAAATAAAAAAACTATCTCTGACTGTCAGTCAAATTTCGTAAAGGAAAAATCCAAGCAGAATCAACTCAAACTGTCATCAGAGCAAGGGAGTGCTGAAAACACCAATGACCTAACTTTACCACAAAGGGACAAGCTGGAAATCCCTAAGCAAGGTCAAATGTTTCCTGTACAAAACCGGATGGTGGCGGAATCTTTACCCTTGTTTTCTTTTAGCAATGAATTAAGCATTAAACAGTGCGACATTTTCTCTGGATCTCCTCAAAAGCCAGAATATCAGTGTTGTTCAATTAAGCCTTCCCAATTCTTTTCTTGTCCTCATTTGAGTACTACTGAAAAATCTGAATGCACGTCTTCAATAAAAGTGACTAGCAGCATGCTCAAAACATTACTAAGGAAGTCTGAAAAAACTATCTCTCCAGCAAGTTTGAGTGAAATGTCCCTCGAAAAATAAGCAATTAATTCCATTTTAAAACTTGATATATAACCGTATATTTTCCTTTCTTTCACATGTTTTTCAAAATTCTTGTTCTGTTTACTTATGTTTTGTTTTTTGTTTGTTTTTTAATTGAAACTTAAACTAAATGAAAGTATAATTGGATTTGTGGAGGACGGATTGTTATTTGTCCATTGTACAATGCTAGCTGATAAGGAAAAGTCTGTATGTGCTTTACTATCATGTTTATTTCTTAAACGATATTAATTTTTGCAAAGAATAAAGAGATGACATCGATTTTCGTGCATTTTCATAATCTAAAAAATATACTACCATAGTGAAAAAGGTAAAAATAACGAACAGTGATCTGTCTTAAAAAATACTATAAACAATACAAATCAGTGAGGAAGGCGTAACACACATACCCCTGAGAATTCCAGAGTGTAAATAAGATTTCTAGGAGAAGTTGGCTTACTCTTTTGGACGATCATGCCCACAAAAAGCTCTATGAATTGATCAAGGAAACATTATCCAGTCAAATATGGTGCAAAAACAAAGACTTATCTGTCTGTGAAACAAGTCAGCCAAATTACGATCCAATAACGGGTTCTATTTCCTAACAAGGTCTTCATGACGATTATAGAACTTACTAAAGTTGCTAACTTTAAAAGTCCGAAAAGATCGTTATGATTTTGAATTTTTCTGGGCTAAAATGTGAATCCTGAAAAAAAGTACACTTGGGAGAATGTTTCTAGATGAAAGGCTTTAATTGATGAAGAGTGTTTTCCTTGTATTTTAGAACTTGGATTTAATTCTACAAGTGGTAATCCTACTTATACTCAAAGTTCCCTTTCTAAGGAAGAAAGTCTTCAAAATCATATGTCAGTTTTGAATATTTTCAATATCTCATTGAACCAAAATGATTTTGAACTGCCATACATCGATTTGATTCCGAAACTTCATAAAAATCATTACAAAGATACATTGCGGTTTCCAGTAAATGTTCAACCAAGCCTCTTTCATTACTCCTCACTAAGATATTAACAGTAGTCAAGGAGAAACGTCAATCTGAGTACTGTACAACAATATATTCAAGAAGTTGTGTGAATCAGATGTGGATACTTAACCAGAAGTCTTTCTCGAGACTGTAGCTCTACTGGTTTGATTGAACAGGCAGAAATGAGGTGGGAGGTATTTATATGTCTGAGATTTTGAGATTAAAATTTAATTATCAGTTTTCTATGCAAATCAGTGTATCATATGCCAATACAGGTACCTTGTAGTAGACATTAATGATTGAGTTGTCTGTCTGATACAAGATGGAAAGATTCTACAGTCATTATGATAACCCCCATGAACCCATTTGGCACACCTCAACCAATTCGTAGCTCATCTAATCTCACTTGATGAAGATAACAGAATCAGCCGAGGTTTGCCAAATGCTCCATGAACAATTGAACCATTTAACTAAATTCATCATTTATAGCATTTTTCCTCCTTTGGACACTTTGTAAATACAAGCTTGCAATGAGAGAAGACATAAGACAAAATGAATGTTGTTTAATTTATATATTCTGAACTTAGGTACTAGAAATGGTAATAAAATAATCAGTTTTGTAATAATTATAAGCATATAAAGAATACACTGTTAGACATTAGCTTTGATACTGATAGTCATGAACAAAACTTGTATAATATTTAGTGACAAAACAGCTTGGAAGTATGAATACATTCAATCTTCAACTGTTAATAATATATACACAGGTACTAAGTAACATCTGATTCTATTGATTGTATTCTACTACAATATGAAAAGTGTGTTTAAATCCTGTAAATTACACGAAGCAGGACAGATCATGATTTGAAATATATGCTATTATATATATTCACTCTTCTTTGACATACAGATCCATGTTCAAGTTCTACATATAAAAGTATTTTGTGCTTAAATATATTATACGCCAATCATGTTTTACATTCAATTAGTATATACTTGATAAGTAGTGTATGGAACATTATGAAGAGGGATGGTTTACCTCCCTTTACGGGCTGGCCAGTGACCTCCCTCTTCCCATTATACTCACCTCTCAATATTTATTTCATCATCATAGTATATACTTGATGAATAATACTTGACTCTTATTAAAGGTGGATGGTTTACCTCCCTTGCATAAAGGGCATGTTATGCGATATCCTTCTTTTCATAACACTCACATGTCTATAAATGTTAAATGTTATTAAACTCTCTTTTTTTTTAATTCTATATACACTTATAATAATATATGGTAATGTGGTGCAAAGAAGTGTAAAATGAAATCCATTAAAATGATTGTTTGCGAAATCAAAACACAATCTGTCCTGATGGAAAATTCAGTATTGATTTTAAAAATCAAGAAAAAAAGCATATCAAGTATAAAATACTTAATACTTGCATTTAACTAAGTACAATATAAAATCAAATCATGTGACATATTCAATATGTCTTTTTAAAATATCTGTGTAATATCTTCCAGCAGTGTTTGTCCATGAATTAGCTACCAAATTAAATTCTGTTACACAAAATATTTCAGATATATACATCAAATCTACATAGCATTGCTTTAAGCATTAACCTTGAAACGTTTTACATTATACATTTATTTTCCAATAGTTAAAGAGTGTGATACAAAATAATATAGAAGATTAACTTAGTGAGGGATATAAATGTGTATCCCACAAAATGCGTTTTTGATACTGTCATATAATTTCAATGACTATGAACATTACATAATAATCAATTCAAACTTTAGTCAACTTTATCATATTGCAATAGTAATTGTTAAGTGTACATCAGTGAATGGATACAAACATTTATATGTATATAGATGCATTGAATATTGTCTCAGTATTGTCTGGATTATACATCATATACACAGGCTTTCGTATTTATAAGATATTGATATAATAAATATGTTATTAGAAATAAAGCAGATTATTTGGAGCAGAAATTATTACAGTTGTATCTATATTTCTGCTAGCAGCTAGTATGTAAAATAAAAACCCAGTACATTTCCAGAAAACTATGAAATTATTTCAATATATTGACTATTCACTATATCCGTAGAAGGAATTCGTTTATTTAATATATAACTGAGCATTTAAGATGACTTCACTACATCTGTGATTTTACAATACCAGTATTCCATGTTCGTACTAAACAAGTTTTACTGTATAATATAACAATTTTGACCAATGAAAATAACACTGAGACAACATTCATCTCCAAAAAAGTTCATTAATAAATAAAGTAAAAATCAGATCAAAACAAAACAAACTGCATAACCTTTTCAGAAAGGTTCACTAGTACTTGTAAAAATATTTACAAGCAAATGAACAACTCTGTTATTATGGGTATGATAGAGGCATTAATATAAAAATGAAATTAGCAAGTAGAGTAATTATTTTTGGGAGCTTATATCATGTAAGAAAACAAATATCACTTAATGTGTATCCCTCAGCACAATTAATTTAAAAATTATACAAACATATAAAAAGTCTTTTATTAAATATAATCATTATCATTTATTAAACATAATGGCTTTCTTAGTTCCATTAAAAGTAATAAGTATGGCATGCATATAGTTGATTCATATACATATATAAATGTAAAGCAAAGAGTTTCATGCACTTGTAGACACTCAAATTAAATTTGACATAAGTCATATCATGTACTCACAAATATCGTAAAAAGAACAGATAATCGAAGAGAATTCTTTTTCAATAATAAGCTTGAAGATGTAATATTTATGCATGTAATTAAAATATAAATGAAACTGCATCAGGGGAAACAAAATTTCAGTGGGAAATAAATACTGAGGGATATACACTTTAAGTGAACAGTACCTTATGAGAATGACTTCCAAAACCACCTGCATCACCAACTTGGTGATGGTACACTCGGTGGTGTACAAACGCACGCAGCGAGTCAGGTGGTGGCGCCTGCCCTGCTTCACACACTGGTGAAGGTACACTCGCTGGTGTACAAACGCACACAGCGAGTCAGACATAGCTATGTTACCCCTTTCAGGGATAGGCAAACTTCCATGAAGAGGCATTGGCTTCAATTCATTAATGAAAAAATAAAATGAACTCTTTCTTTCCTCAATTGTTCCTCAATAGTTCCTTCAAATATCTCTAGCTAAAGATGTATATATTACTTTGTGGTCAGAATAAACACTTTCTATGACATCAGTGATAATATGACATGTCACATTTGTGTAAATATGGTCTATCAATGATCCAGAAGAATGGGTTGACTTTGACACTATCTGATTACAACTGAAAGCTGCAGACATGTATGTAGCCACTGAAGAGCCTCCATGAGATAGATCTATATTGAAATCCCCAATATTGACTATATTCTGCTGATTCTTAACTACTTTGGACAATTTGTTCATAAAATTGTTTTTTGCTCTTTCAACAGTAGATCCAGGACTTCTATATAGCACAACAACTTGATAATTCTCATTTTTAAACTTTACTTCACTGTACTGCCATTTCAAGTCTTTGTCTGAGTGGCTCACATGATTAATGATTTGACAGTCATTTCTAATGTATGTAATAATGCCTCTATGGGGTCTGGCACATTGCTGATTTAATGCAAAATCCAACCTGAACATGCTGTAATTCTCCAATTCATAATCTTCATTTTCATCTGATGCTGTCAACCAAGTTTCAGCTACTCCTATGATATGACACCGTTGAAGATTTGGCTCATTTTTGAAACTTGCAAAATGGGCATGCAGTGATCTTACATTCTGAAATGCAATGTTTATGGTCTGGTTGTTTGTTGAATCTATAGGCTGAAAACATAATTGTAATGTTGCTTCTGTCCGTAGTCTACACATTTCTTTTTTCACCTTCTCAGATGCACACATTTTGTTTTCATTTAAACTCAAGATATGAAGTCCTGTAATCTTCGTAAACCTGCTTAGTGCAACATAGTGAATGTGTGGCAATGAAAATTTTGGATTCATATCGAGATTGATAACAGCTTGATCCATTGTGTCCCCCTGAGATTTGTGTACAGTCTTGGCTGCAGAAAGTCGCAATGGAAATTGTATACGAACAACAGTGTGTCGCAGGTACTGAAAGCTCCTTCTCACATCAAATATTGGTGTCCAAGACTTATCTACTTCATGCCCAAAGAGATGTCTATACTGATATCTCCATGATTTTGCAGTATTTCTGTCATCAAAAGAAACCCATATTATACTTGGTCTTTCAGTGTTTTCTTGTCTCCTATCTATGTACTCTACTCTGCATGATGTACCATTTGTAAGCCCATCCTCAACAGATAAGTTTGCAGTTATTTCATACTGGAGACCAAGTGCTATGGGAACATTTTTAGCCAATCCAGCTGTTTTAGAGGAGTCATCTGGCAAATTCAAGTGCTGTATTAAATTTTCCCTTCCTACTACAGAATCATGAGCTGGTATATTGCCCTTTTCACCTTGAGCCAATAGAGACACTTGGTTGTTGTAAGCATTCACACTTTCATTTCTGGTATACAATCGTGGAACATTTCTAAAACATTCTGACTGTGATTCATCTACACAGTGCTGCTTCAACGTCTGTATATCAGCTTCAGATTGATTTCCTCAGCAAACTGAACATCATCTTTCTGTCTCATTATTTCTGTAAGCTCATGCATTGTGAACAATTCCCGCCATAAGTTTATTGCCAATGGTCCAAAGTTTTTCTTCAAGTCATCGAAAACCCATCCATCCATTACTGGCTTTAACTGGAAAAGATCTCCTATCAAAATTACATTGATACCTCCAAGATATTCCTTTCTCCCTTTTATCTGCTTCAGACGCTCATGTACGCAATTTAACTGAGAATTTCCGACCATTGAAACTTCATCAATGATGACCGTTGACAAATATTTGTACTTTGTCCTAAGTGTGTTCAAAGATTCACTATCAAGAGGCTTGCAGTTAAACCCCTGACTTGCTGGAATTTTGAATGCTGAATGTATCGTCTGTCCTTTTATATTAAATGCAGCTTTTCCGGTTGGAGCACAAAGTAGAACCTTGCAGTCATCTGGATTTTCGCCTTCAGTAGAGCAATAGTGTCTTGTGAGTGCCTCATACAAAGCTCTTACAACAACAGACTTTCCAACTCCTTCACCACCAGTAAGGAAAACTCTAAGTATTCTTTTTTGGTTTTAATCCAATGAAGCACATGAGTAAAGAAGTCCATTTGCTTTTTGTTTAACTTGCTAACTAACTGAAAATACAACTCATTGGTCATTTTGTACTGAAGAGTTTGATCATCATTAGTAGAACAACTAGGTAATCCAAGATCTACTCCAATGTCATAGTTCTGGTGATTTTCTGGACGCTTTGGGTCAAAATACACAAATGCCTCACTTTCCCTACTTCCTTCTTCCAAGTCTTCTTGTTCAGTTTGCTCTGCACTAGGTGCAACTCTATCAAATTGTACATCAGCCTCTTCAGCTTGCCTCTGTGCCTCTTCCAACTCCCCTGCATTGCGTTCATACTTCTTTACTTTAGCACCTATAAAACTCTTCAGTTGGTTGTATTTTTCTTCATATGTTGATTTGTTTCCTTTTATGTCTATTTCTTCCTTTCTCCACGGATGGAAAAGCAAAATCCTTTCTCTATAATGATTTTCAGAATCAACTTTGATGGAGTAGTTGACATAACGAATGCATTTAGCCTTCCTCCTTTGCCTTATGATGATGCCATTTTTTAAAACTATCCTAATCAGCTCTGAATTGATCTCTTCATCTTCCAATTCTCTGAATTCTTGTTCATCTTCAGAATCATCATTTTGCTCTAGAAGCTCATCATTTTCTTTGAATTCTTTTGGATATACAATTTCTAGTTCTGCTGCATAGTCTGCTAAACACCAGTTCTCAAGTTGCCTTGGTCTTTGAGAATAACGCTTGATCACACTGCTTGCATGAATGTCTGTGGAATTCTCTGGTAATTCTTCTAAAGCAGACTTACATTTCAATAGAAGAGTTCTTTCTTCTGGTGGTGATGTATTTATAAATACAACATCTCTTGAACTTTTTGTTAAGGGCAATTGTAAATTCAAGTATGCCGCTTCTTGTGCACTTATCTCAACTGTATTCAAGAACTTGTTTCCCATGTGTCGAACCTGTTTTTTCAAATCCATATTTCCTTCTCTTGCTTCCTTACATGCTTGATCAAGCAGATTACTCATTCCACGTTGAGACTTGCTAATGTAGGACACTATGTACATGGCACATGCATATGGGTCCAACACAAACTGCAAATCATGATTAGCTCGCCATGCTGTCAAAACATTTTTCATATAAGGATTAACTCTTATTTCACTAGGGGTTCTCTTCAGAAAAAGCTGTGGTCCATCAAGGGAACTTCTGACTGACTTTATGTAATCTTCTTTCTCCAGGTTCAGTGATCGTAGAAATTCATTGAAAGAAATACTTTTCCCTTCTTTCATATCTGCTAATTCTTTCTTAACCTTTGCAAAAATTTCTTTGTATCTCATTGAATCTGGATCATCTGCTGTTAAAGGTTCTAAAATCAAAGTTGAATCCATAGGAGGCTGAGGAAATCCAAATCGACAAATGTCTTTTCCTTTTTTCCTACATGTTCTGGAATGTTTGTGAATTTGTAAATCTACAAATTCTCTATCGTCATCATCACAGTTTGCAGAGCAAGACACATACTTGTCTATAAATTGTGCAATTTCAGACACTGGATCTTCTTTAAATTTTGGAGCATCTTTTATCCACATGAGCATATGAATGTGAGGTGATCCTCTATGCTGAAATTCAACACGATAAAAAAAATCTATCAGTTCCCCAACAGGATGATCCTCATTCTTCAAAACAGTATTAATAAACACATGTACTCTATGATCAAAAAAGCGAACACATGTTACCGGATCTTTTTGCACCAAGTCAGTTTTTTCAGACCATGTCATATTGTCTATTTCCTCATCAGTTAGTGATTTCTTGAGATTGAGTTGAGCAAGAGTTTTGAGTAGCTCAGACCATCTTGTATCTGCTGCTGATAAAGATGCAAACCATGTTGGTAATCCCAATTGTCTAATCATTGCAAACAACTCTTTCTTTTTGGCCTCAAGATATGGAGGACTGTTCCGTAAAGTTCTAAAAATGTAATATCCCTCATCTAATCTTGTTATCTTGTCAAGTATTTCCTGATTGTGAACATCACCAGCTGTTAATTTCTTCTCTGTGCCCTTGCATCTTCTTAATACAAGATTGACTTTGTCTGATATTTGCTTCATTTGAATTTTCTTCATTTTGAAAAATAAATTTGGCACACTGTTTGCTGCACGTCTGTCAATATTTCTTAGTTCCCATTTCACAAGATCACTGTAATGAACTTTAACTTCACGATCATCATTTCATGCCATCCTCTGACCACAGTAAATGGTTGGAAAAGACAAGAATTCTGCATCCTTATCAGTATACACCTGATCTTGCACAGGATTTGCATCATCCAATAATGTATCACAACTGCCAGAATTCCCCTCTCTTTCATCAAGTTCTTCAAAATGACTCTCTTCTAACCTGTCTGATGTGCCATCAAGGTTTGTATTCCTTGCTTCAGTACACCCAGAAGTACTTGTGTTAAAATATTCTGAAATAATTTCACTGCTATCTGCATTTATTCTGGCTTCCCATTCATCATCTAAATGAATATTTGCATCTTTGTACATTTGGCTATTTCTCATCAACCAGTGTAATGCAATGATTACATGCTGTGGTCTCACATTTTCCACAAAATCACAAGTTTTGTAACTTAGTCTCTTCTTTAAGCGGACTGGCACTGTAATATCATTGTTAAACTGTCTTGGCAAAGAGTTTACAGTTGGTTGGATATCTACTGGAACATTAACAACATTTCCTTTGATAGATAACTGTCTTCCTCTAGGCAACTCTCTTAGCTGCATAAATGGAATCCGTAAAGCTATGAGGCGTTCTTCTAACTGATGAAGTTCAAGTTCTTCAGGTTTGGTAGGAAATTGTACATGGTTTGCTATTGACAACTTTGGCATTTTCTTTTCTTGTATTGATTTCTTACATGTTAAACATATCCATTCTTTTCCTCCAATTGAAACATAGTTGGTGAGAAATTTTGCAACATCTTCAGGAGGTAAATTTTTTCTAAGAAAGTTGCTATCAACAACTGAATGAGAAAACCAGGTCTGGTGACAGCATGTACATACATATAATGGTCCTTCTTCTATTCTTTTGTTAAATGCTTATATTGCATTTGTAAGTGATGTTCCATTCTTTCTGCGTTTTCTTGCAATATTTTCCTTCCTACAAAACTGAGGATCTTTTCTTTTTTGGGCTTTAGCACTCTTTTCTCTAGACTGTTCATTCTCACGATAGTCAATATTGTTTCTCTTCACAGATTTTCTTATGCGTTCCATTTCAAGAAATGCAGAATCTTCCCTACACTTCCTTTTTCTTCTGACATCTCTGTCACGTTCATTATTCATTATGTCTATATTTGCTCTTTGTTTTTGCTTAGCATTTCTCTCTCTTTCTTTCTCAGAAAGTCTAAATATTGGGTCATTTCTCTTTCTTTTCTTTGTAATTTTGTCCCTTTCTTTTTCAATGCATCTCATTTCTTTGTCTAATCGTTTAACCTGTTTTGTTGCTCTTTCTCTTCCTTTCTCAGTGTTTCTTGACTCTTTGTCTAGCCGTTTTGCTTGCCTTGCTGTTTTGTCCCTTTCTTTCTCAATGTTTCTTGACTCTTTGTCTAGCCGTTTTGCTTGCCTTGCTGTTTTGTCCCTTTCTTTCTCAATGTTTCTTGACTCTTTGTCTAACCGTTTGGCCTGTCTTGCTATTTTGTCCCTTTCTTTCTCAATGTTTCTTGACTCTTTGTCTAACCGTTTGGCTTTTCTTGCATTTTTGTCCCTTTCTTTCTCAGTGCATCTCATTTCTTTGTCTAATCGTTTTAACTGTTTTGTTGCTCTTTCTCTTCCTTTCTCAATGTTTCTTGACTCTTTGTCTAACCGTTTGGCTTGTCTTGCATTTTTGTCCCTTTCTTTCTCAGTGCATCTCATTTCTTTGTCTAATCGTTTTATCTGTTTTGTTGCTCTTTCTCTTCCTTTCTCAATGTTTCTTGACTCTTTGTCTAACCGTTTGGCTTGTCTTGCTGTTTTGTCCCTTTCTTTCTCAATGGTTCTTTTTGTATTGTCTAATCTTTTTTCTTGCTTTGCCAATTTGTCTCTTACTTTCTCAATATTTCTAGCATGTTCATTTTTCCTCCAATTTTTCATGTAATTTCTAATGTACTCCTTTCTGGAATATTTGATTTTTCCTTCCTTTTCCTTTCTTTTGACCATATTTTTCAGTCTACATTCTTGATCATCAAAATATCTATCTAGAAGGACACCACCTTTTTCAATTTCTGCTGCTCTATCAGATGAACTTTCCTCTACTATATGTATGTCATCAGTACCTAATTTAATGATATTTACTGGCGTTACTTCAAATTGAGAATTCTGGTCAACAGAGAGAGATAATGCCAACTGCAAACAATGTTGTGCCACACCTTCCAGTGTCTCTACTCCAATCAATGTACTTCTTCCATTAGCATCAAGTAATCCACTCTGATCTCGTGCATGGGAATCAAAAAGAAAGTATTGTTTTCCAACTTTCATCACAGAAAAAGTGTTTCCACCAAAGCAAACAAATGAACATTCTGCCATTTCAAATGACCTTTGCAATGCCTCTAAAATGGACATGCCAAACATTTCGACATCATTTCTTAATCTTTCATCATTACCAATTAAACCAACTTGCGATTCAAAAGTTTGCACAGAAAAGCATTTGTCATAAACTTCTATCTCATTTGGTAATTCATCTATCAATAAATATTCATTCTGCACAGTTGAACTTGCTTGCAGATAACCATAAAGTTCATTTCCAGTTGTCAAAATTTTGTCAATGTCTGATGACAACCAAGCATTTTGATCTTTTTACCCAGGAAAAAATTATGCTTGATAATGCATTAGCCACACATTGTTTACCACATGTAATTCCAAATACATCAGTACAACCTTGATGAAAGTTTCCTTGCAGAGATGAAAATATTCCAGTGCCAATACTCATACCAAATTGTACCTTTTATCTCTATTCTTTCCCATTCTCTAATTGAATATCTCTTTCCTGTTGGCATGATTCCTGGCTTCTGTTATTTTGAAATTTCTGTTCTATTCTGTTTTCAGACATATCCTCCATTTTGTTCTTCAATTTTTCTATATGGTTCTCATATATATCTTTCTGATTTTTGTTCTACAGTTTTTCTATATTGTTCTCATGAATTTCTTTCTCAGTTTTGTTCTTCAGTTTTTCTATATTGTTCTCATGTATTTCTTTCTCAGTTTTGTTCTTCAATTTTTCTATATTGTTCTCATGTATTTCTTTCTCATTTTTGTTTTGTATATTTTCCTCATTTTGAATCTTGCACCTTTTCTGATTTGTCTTACTAACTGCATCACCCACTTCTGACAGTGATGGTACACTCGCTGGTGTACAAACGCATCGCGACGAGTCAGTTAGTGGCGCCTGCCCTGCTTCACACACTGGTGAAGGTACACTCGCTGGTGTACAAACGCATGCTGGCGAGTCAGACATAGCTATGTTACCCCTCTCAGGGATAGGCAGACTTCCTTGAAGAGGTACCAACTTCAAGGCATTTAAAGGATCTGCACCTGAAACAGAATCCTTACCATCCTTTGAGGGAGTCTCTGCTACCCATCTGCGATGAACTTTATCTCTGGATCTTTGGGATGCTTTTCCCTTTCTTGGCATCTAAGAAATTTATAAACAAATGTGAACGACAACACAAGAGGCCCGTAGGCCACATCGCTCACCTGAGCACTATGGCTATCAATTCAGTAAATGTCTAAGTGATCTCGATCCTAAAAGAGGGGGGAGGGTTATGATTTGAACAAACTTGCAGGGGCGTAGCAACAGGGGGCCCAGCCCCCCCCCCCACTTTTTTCCCGTACCTTACTACCTTATTATAGGAAATGTTAATAGAAAGCCTGGTTGCCCCTCTCCACCCCCCCCCACTTTGAGTGATGTACCGAAAATGTAGTATTAGATTTGGTACTGAGAGTAGTTGACACGACACTGTCCATTGTGTCCCCCCCCATCCCTGGGGGTCATGCTTTGAACAAACTTGAATCTACACTACCTGAGGATACTTCTATATAAATATGATCAATCATGGCTTTGCTGTTCTCAAGAAAAAGAGTTTTAAACAATGTTTCCTTTATATTCCGATATAAATTGTTGATCGTCCATTTTGGCCCCATCCTACCCCCGGGGTCATGATTTAAACAAACCTGAATATTCACTACCTGAGGATACTTCCATATAAATATGACCAATCATGGCTTTGCTGTTCTCAAGAAGATTTTTAACGATTTTTCCTATATATTCCTATGCAAAACTTTGATGGTCTATTGTGGCCCCGCCCTACCCCCGGGGGGTCATGATTTGAAGAAACCTGAATCTACACTACCAAAGAATACTTCAATGTAAGTTTCATATTTCCTGGCCAAGTGGTTTTTTCAAAGATGCCATAAATTTTTCCGTAATTTTCAATTATCTCCCATTGAAATGGGGTGTGGCCCTTCATTTGAATAAACTTGAATCCCCTTCACACAAGGATACTTTGTGATAAATTTGGTTGAAATCTGTCCAGCGGTTTTTGAGAAGAAGTCGAAAATGTGAAAAGTTACAGACAGCTGGACAAATGGACGCCGGACAAAATGTGATCAGAAAAGCTCACTTGAGCCACGTGAGCTAAAAACTTGTAAACAAAGGCTTGTTTCTATCGGTATATTCTCTATGAACACAGGTTTAATCGATTCAAAAAAATGTATAAAGTATGTGTTTACTTTGTAAATAAAAAATTTATTTTACTTGCTTATTTTGTTCATTTTTAATACATGAAAAGCAATTCCTTAAAGCAAGTCATTTTATATTTATGTACCGGTAGATATTGCGCCATGTGATTCGGCCATGTATTGACCTTTGCCCTTTGACAAACTTCATACAGTATTGAAGATATTTTCTCTCTGTATGTTTATATAATGGAAAGATACCACAAATGTATTAATATATATATAGGTGTATCCATGTACTAAGATTCTTGCATATTAATAAACATGACTACCGGGTAATCATGGCCTTGCTGTTCTTGAGATTTATCATTTTTATGGCTTTTCCCTGTATATAAATTATAACTAGAACTGTCCAAACTGGACAAAATAACCCCCGCTGGGTTTTTCAGAAGCAAGTTTATCCATAATAAAGATAGGTATCACACATGAATTATGAAATTTTTCTTCCAGTGACCTTGAAGTTCTCCAAATGACCTTGGGTCAAGTTCATGACACACCCTTGGGTCATTGGCAATCTTTGTGTGAAATGAGAACCTAACAAGTTTATCCATAAGAAAGATATGGACCGGAAATGAAGTATGAAATTTTCTTCCAGTGACCTTGAACTTCCACAAATGACCTTGGGTCAAGGTCATGACACACCCTTAGGTCATGGACAATCTTTGAGTGAAATGAGAACCTACCAAGTTTATCCATAAGAAAGATACGGACCGGACACGAGTTATGAAATTTTTCTTCCAGTGACCTTGAAGTTCCTAAATGACCTTGGGTCAAAGTCAAGATGCAACCTTTGGTCATGGGCAATCTTTGCATGAAATGAGAACCTACCAAGTTTATCCATAAGAAAGATATGGACCGGACACGAATTATGAAATTTTTCTTCCAGTGACCTTGAAGTTCCCCAAATGACCTTGGGTCAAGGTCATGATACACCCTTAGGTCATGGGCAATCTTTGTGTATAGTAGTAGATTCTAATATCCCTCGGTAAGAAAGATATGGACCGGACACGTTTGCACAGACAGACGGACAGACAGACAAGGTGATTCCTACGAGGGTTGTCCCAGAAAAACGCGAACAATTAAAATAATTTTTGTTTCGCTAATGCTATAAAGATAAAAATTGACACAGATCATAACCCATATTTATTGTATATACCATAGAAGTTTTAATGAAATATCTCTATAAATATTCATTTTCTGCCATTAAAATGAACTTAACATAAGTGCTGTCGGCGCAACGCCGACGACGTCATGACGTCGGTCGTAGTCAATTTACTTGAAATGAACGTCACGTTTATTCCTTCTCAAAATAGCGACCACAGTGTGATAGACATTTCTTGTGCCGTTTTATCCAGGCATGGAACACATTACTGAACCACTCCTGACCAAGTGTTTTGTTGAATATGGACACTTCACGACGAATTTCGGTCACGTTTTGAAATCGTTGTCCTCGTAAATGTCCTTTTAAGGCTGGAAAGTACGCAAAATCCAGGGGAGCGAGGTCCGGCGAGTAGGGCGGATGTTTGAGTCTCCGAAATCCCAAGAGGTCTAATTCCAGTTCCGTTTCCTCTGCCCTGTGACTTGGAGCATTGTCGTGATGATAAATTAACTCTTCCATGCTGTTTGCCAAAACCGGTCTTTTTTTCCGCAAAGCACATGGAGAAAATCACGGCGGACAACCTTAAAAGATAAGTTCATGATCAAGATTTTTCCTTATTAATTTTCAGTGACCTTAAACGTTTAAAACAACGATATAATTTTCTTTCATAAAACAGATGATCATTTCATTTTTATTTTAAAGAATCTTAATTTAAACCCCCCCCCCCCCCGCACAACTTCTTGAATATAACGTTAAATATTGTATATATGAAATATTATAGTATTTTGTATAATAACTTAGAATAATATGCAGCATTTACTGTTGTGCATTTGGCACTGCGTGAGATAAGATAATGCCTTGGTTGTCCATAAAGAACATGAACATGACTTTATCCATAGACTTAACAGCTTTAGCTTTTTTGGGAGGCGGCGTGCTGGGGGTTTTCCAAACACTTGACTGGCGCTTTCCTTCAGGCTCGAAATAATGCAGCCAGGTTTCGTCCATGGTGATAATTTTGTTTAGAAATTGGTCATCTTTTCTTTGGAATTTTAAAAATTCGCTTGAGGAAGTCTGCAATGCATTTGATCTTCCGTTAGTAGCCGAGGGACCCATCTCGCACATACCCGTGTCATCGATAGGTCAGAAAGAATTCTCTGAACAGAGGATTTTCCTATTCCGATTGTGTCACCGACTTCACGAACAGTTAAACGTCGGTCTTCCCGGATAACGTCCAAAACCCGACTCTTCAACTTGTCATCACTTTTTGATGGTCTTCCCCGCGCCTCTTTCATTGGATCACCAGTCCAGCCTTTCTTGAATCTTTTGTGCCATGTGTACACTAAAGTCCTAGACACGTGTTTGTGTCTTTCTATTGTTTCCATCTCTTTTTTAGTCTGTATAGGGGTCATACCTCGCTCAACGCAGTACTGAATAATAATTCGGTGCGCCGCATTATCCGCTGAAGTCGCCATTTTTGATAATTTTAAACGGTAGGTTTTTGGATAATTAACGTCATATTATTGCCGTTTATGACGTCATTTTAATGAATTTTTACAGGTAAGTGTGCGAGATTATCTAGTTTTGTATTGATATATTTCTTTTCATAATATGCATCATTATAAACCCGTAATAAAGAAAACCCCGTTAACAATAATTTTGTTTTGAGTGAAAAAATTGCCGTGCGCCGACAACCAATATCTAACACCCTTTAAATGCCCTTTTCATAGGTAGTTGACAACATAGAATTAATTGTTTTGTTTTATTTAAGAAAAGGGATAATTTTCCATCATCGTACCAAAAATGAAAATAATTGGTCCGATAGTTTTTGAAATATTTAAAAAGTTCGCGTTTTTCTGGGACAACCCTCGTATATACCCCCCCAAACTTTGTTCAAAACATCAAGCTGATAAATTTGAATTATATTAACAACCTAGAAAAATGTCTTAAATTTTTCCTTCATATACAAGGGCTGTTTGAAAATTATCGAGACATTGTGTATATTCTGCTTTCTAATGAACGTCTTTCGGTGAAAATTTGCATATACGTTTGAAATACACTATTTCCTGTACAATGGTATATAAATGCGTCAATAGTAGGGGTAGCCGGAGCTTTCACAAAATTAGATATTGAAAATATGTATCACCAACGTTCAAACTCTTCGTGAACCCATAAAAAGATTGAAAATAATTCAGCTTATGTGTACAATTTTTCAGCTTTATTTCAAATTCATTATGTGCAACTTTGTTAGAAATTTGATCAGGAATACGCAGATCATAAAAAATGAACCGTGGTAGAGAAACCTGCTAAGAACGCAAAATTGGATTTTGCCGTCAAGGGCGGAGCAGCCAGCTTACCTAAAATTTTGTGTAGACTAGTGCAATGCAGAACTCTTTTCCAGACTGAACGACCTGCTAAAACAATAACAACTAGAGAAAACAAATGTGCTAAGGTTCGTTATTTCATAAGTATACGTTTCTTTTTTATTTTTTAACAATTAATTCACCCAGAGTAAAATCAAAAGCTCCAGACAACCATCGTGCAGTTATTACGTACTGTATTAATATTGTTGATCCATGTTGCATAAATCTGCACTGCATGATTCTAAGTCATATTTCCCCACAAATGATAATTTTACACTGGGGTAGCAAGAGCATACATTTTTAAAGAATATTTTAAGAAAAGAGATTTGTTTGATTTTTGTAATATTTTATGTAATAAATAACAAAGAAGGAAAAGTTTTTAGTTTTATACACTTTCCGGTCGTTTTACATGCAAACAATCTCCGGCTGAAGTGACTTTAAATGACATAGCGATGCTGCTCCGGGTCAATGGACATATGCATGTTGATTATTTCACCAAACTTAACTTATTATCATAGGAATTAGAAATTTTGCATAAGTGTTATATTCATTCTTTATAAAATGTTGATGAATTTTCATGATATTATCTGCGTCCTTTAAGGAGTAAATGTAATTGATTTTACAAGAAACGTTTTACATTGGTTTTACATAGGAATCCACTATATTTTACTTCATCAAGCTAACACAAAACACAGGGATGTGCATTTACCATTGCCCGACGCCTGGGGCGACCAGTTTTAGAGGCCGGGCTCTCCTCTTCATAAATCTAAACTGTGTAGTAAAGTGCCTTTTGCAAATAGTATACACACAACTTTTTACATTTACAAAAGTTATTCCCTTTGCGGGGTATACTGGTGTAAGACACTGTTTTCCATCTATAACCTTACCAACTTTATGGGTCAGTATCTTAAAAATAAAATCTGTATGAATATGTTCATTACGTTCTTCATGTTGCCCCATACTCTGGAAAAACATGTATAGATCGAAATTGTCCGATAACGTTTGAAGATTAAAAATATTAACAGCTAACTAACAAAGGGCAAAGTGGGAAAAAATGAGCGTTACGCCGACAACGGCCGAACGGGAGATAACTCTTAGGAATGTGAAAGTCGTTTTTATTGCCGTTTCTACAACATGTACAAAGTGCCGTTTTCACAGATACCGTTCGATTTATAATCCGTTACACGGTATTCAGCTTATCGTCTTTTAAAATCCCGCACACTGGAAAAAGAGCACAGTAAAATCTTCTAAAAATCGCCACAGTGGAAGTCTAATAGTCAACGTTCCACTTGATCTGAATTTATAATTTCATACATCAATTTCATATATATATATAAGCATTCAAAGACAATAAATCAAACAATTAATACCTTTTAAGTACAAGTAAACGTAATTAAGAGCTTTAAAATCCCGCAAACTGCAGAGTTTAATAAAATTCTCTGTCGTTTCTGCACGTTGTCCAATATGGCGCCTGTATGTAGAATTTTCATGAACATCGAACCCGATAAAAATTGATTTGTCAGAGAGACATGGTACACCTAACGTAATTTTAACGATTAAATATAGACATAATATGCACAAATACCGTGTGCACAATATTTAAACTTGTTTTTTAAACAATTTAGTACCAAGTTTTATCAAATCTGATCAAAATGAAACTGCAGCAGGAGTAGCATATTGTAAGTATTTACAGTAACAGAAATTTTTTATTTAATAACCATGGCAACATCCTTCAAGAAAATTGTGCTTCTTAGTGTAATCTACTTGTATGCCAATTAAGATTGAATCAGATCAAAACTGTAGGAAGAGTTAGCATTTAAGAAGTATTTCACAGAAATTTATATTTTTAGTAACCATGGCAACACTGTTCATTGGAATTAAAAACCAATATACAGAACTGTGTATCTTAGTAAAATTTACTTGTTTGCCAAGTTATATTGAAATCAAACCAAAACTGTAGGAGGAGTAGCGTTTTGAAAGTATTTTACTGAAATTTCTATTTTTAGTAACCACGACAACACCGTTAATTGAAATCTAAAACCGATACACAGAATTATGTATCTTAGTGTAGTCTACTTGTGTGCCAAGTTATATTGAAATCAGACCAAAACTGTAGGGGGAGTAGCATTTTAAATGAATTTCACAGAAATTTCTATTTTTAGTAACCACGGCGACACTGTTCATCGAAATCAAAAATCGATACACAGAATTATGTACCTTAGTGTAGTTAACTTGTATGCCAAGTTATATTGAAATCAAACCAAAACTGTAGGAGGAGTAGCGTTTTAAAAGTATTTCACAGAAATTTCTATTTTTAGTAACCACGGCAACACTGTTCATCGAAATCAAAAACCGATACACAGAATTATGTATCTTAGTGTAGTCTACTTGTGTACCAAGTTATACTGAAATCAGACCAAAAATGTAGTAGGAGTAGCATTTTGAAAAATTGTTTACAAACAGACAGACGGACAGACAGACGGACGGACGCCGGACGCATTACTATCGCATAAGCTCTTCTGGTCTTTGACCAGTAGAGCTAAAAATTCCAAAGAACTTTGGGACAATTGGAAAGCACAAGATTTTACCAAAATCAACAGCTTAAAAACTAACGACTTTTCAACTTTCTCCAGAACCATTCCCCACGATAAATTAAAGTCCAGGCTTTCGATACCATTGACAGTTGCTTTTTCAATAAAAATGTAACTCGTAAATTTACTTACCTGGTCATTGGTTATTTGAAAAGCTATTTTGTTAAAAGAAATTCTGATACCACACACAAATACTCTGAAGTTGACATCAAAAAGATACTTGAGTTTCTGATTGACAATATTGTGATTTAACCACTGAAGGTTAAATCCGTTTACCAAAGTGCCATTAAGCTTTTTAATATTTCGGCTTTTGGAGGTATTCTTCCGGTCCTGGCCTTATATTAGTGCCATCCTGTTCTCGGGGTTTTGGGGTTATTAGTCAAACCCAAGCACCAAAACATGTGACGTCGAGCGCAAAAAATCAAGTTTCTGCAAAATTTCAACGAAGTAAGACATGTTTTTAGCAGTGAATTCTTTTCCCACGTGCTCAGCCGAATTTGGAGAAATTTCTTTATTGTCTTGCGAAGCATTGTAGATCGTATTCGCTCCCTGTTAAATATTTTGAACACGATCATTGGTCGGATTATTATCTGATTTTAATTAGATTTAATTTTGCCGCTTCTTCGCCTACCTACAGGTGGTCTTAGATAAAGAGGCACAAATTCCACTAATTGTTTCCATAATCCGATTATTTTTTTATCAGGGTTTAATATTTTGTTTTTTGTGTGTATTTCATAACGAGCATCCTAATGTCAACGACAAAGCCAAAAAGAAAGCGTGATTCGACTCCTTTACCAAGAAGGCGCGCCAAGCGCATAATGGCGCTCCTCCCTCTCGTGCCAGTCAAGGTCAACCTGAAACCAGTGGAAGCATGAGCCAGCCGTCTTTTAGTTTATCCAGTGAGCAGTTGCAATACTGGATATCAGAAGCTGTCGCAAATATCGTAAGCAAGCAGAGTGAGACCAATCCCCCAATGCCCATAGAGCCACTGAAAACCCCCATGGCCACACGGGAACTGAGTCAAGGTACAGAACCCGACTTAATAAATGACAATTACCTTGCATTAACACCAAGCTATGATAACGATTTAGGCCATAAAGTGTCAAATAAATTTAAATTTAAAATCGTTAATGGCGAGTACATCAATTTGGGTTTGTTAGTCGAAAATTCACATAGGGTCGATCCAAATGATGAGACCAGATATTTTTCCATGAGAGAGGGTAGCCTCACCCTGGCCCCAAAAACTAAAGCAAGGGTAATTAACGACATTCAAGTATGGACGGATGCTTTTCTCATTTACGCATCCATATATGCCTCAGTCCATCCCGAGAGCAGTGCTCAGTTGTTCAAATATATTCATACTATTAGGTTAGGGGCAAGTAGAATAAAGACACTCGGGTGGCGCAACTATGACATCCAGTTTAGGCTCAAGACGGAGGCTGACCCATCTCTCTCATTTGCTGTTGTCGATCAGGGGCTATGGCTCTTGAATATGTACAGTGCCCCTAGCACCCAGATTTCCTCACCTCAGCCCCCCTTCTTAAGTATTCATTTACAAGGGCATATGTAATAAACTCGTATGTCAATACAAGCATGAATGTATGATATGTTCACAAAACCATCCCTACATTAAACACAAGACATCCTCAGGCTCTAGTTTGAATTTTAGGTCAACTGGTCTGCAAGCAACATGGCGGCCTCATCTACCCAGGAGACCCACAGCACCAAGTTCAGCTATTAGAGCATCTTATGCCCAATCAGCTAGACCTCAGTAATATTGCAGCAAGCCCTATTAATGTACCAAGATTAGGCGAATTATTAGCAAATTACCCACTTGGCTTGGTAGCCTTAGAACTTTTGCAGGGTTTTACATATGGTTTTAGGTCATGTTACGAAGGTCCCCGAGTGGCCACTGACTGTAATAATCTTAAATCCTTGTCTGGGTTACAGTATGAAGTTATTCAGTTGGTTGTTAATGAAATCATGTTGGGCAGAGTTGCAGGTCCATTCAATCAGCCCCCTCTACCTAACCTTAGGTTGTCTCCAGTGGGCATGGTACAAAAGAAGGGGATTCTTACAGATTGATTCATCACTTGTCTTACCCTCCAGGGTCTAGCGTCAATGATTTTATTAGTAAGGAGTATTGCTCAGTTAATTACTCGTCATTTGACGATGCACTAGACATGCTTGCAAAATTAGGTCCAGGTGCACAAATTGATAAATTAGACATAAAAATGCATTTAGGTTATTGCCGATTCACAGATCAGATTATGAATTATTAGGCTTCAAAATTCAGGGTATGATATTTGTAGATAAGTGCTTGCCCTTTGGATGTTCTGTAAGCTGTTCCAAATTTGAGAAATTTTCTACCTTTTTAGAATGGGTACTTAAGCAGCAGACCAAAAGCAACAATGTGGTTCATTATTTAGATGATTTCTTGGTAGCAGGTAGGGAGGGTAGCCAAGATTGTGCTAGGCTTATATCGGTGTTTAATTCCATTTGTCACGAGCTGGGCATTCCCTTAGAACATGAAAAAAACTGAGGGACCTACAAACATTTTGACTTTTTTGGGGTTAGAAATTAACACTCAAGAAATGACAATTTGCATACACTGTACCATTAGACAAGCTTAAGGACCAATTAACTTATATATTATACAAAAAGAAGGTTACATTGAAGGAGCTTTAGGCTCTTACAGGGCTATCCCAGCTGGTAGGGCTTTTGTTAGAAGGCTTTATGATGGTACACTGTACTTGTGGGCTGTCTAAACCACATCACAAGCGCAGGGTCAGTTTAGAAATGAGGGCAGATATTAAAACTTGGCTACTGTTTTTAGAATGTTTCAATGGAGTTACTTCTTACAGAATTGTAGATTGGTCAAATGATTTTGACATGGAGTTGTTTACTGATAGTGCAGGAAATATTGATTTAGGTTGTGGTGCTATTTTAGGTAAGCAATGGGCATTCATGCAATGGTCATCACAGTGGAAAGGGTTAGAGATCATTAAAGACATTACATTTTTAGAATTAGTAGCAATAGTTATGGCTTTTGACATCTTGGGGGGGGGGGTGTTGGCAGGCAAGAAAGTTATTCTTCGATCTTCGATTCTAAGACATCGAAATCAAAAAGGGTTATGCGTTTGCTCAGGAAGTTAGTTCTTCAGGGGTTAGTGTATAACATCCAGTTTAAGGCAACACATATCATAGGCCTGCATAATATCAAAGCAGATTCTATCTCTCGACAGCAGTGGTCACGTTTCTGAGCCAGCTTCCCAGAGGCAGAGGATCACCCAACATTAATACTCCAGTCATTTCTGCAGGTGATCTACGACATAGAGCTCGAGAGCTCTTAAGCTATTCCATCTCCGACAGCACAAAGAACTTGTATAACACTGCATTAAATGTTTTCAATGATTTTTGCAAGCATTATTTTGACACAGAAAAGTGGCCTCCCCATTACAATCAATTAGTCGATTTTGTCTCCTACCTTTCGTATATGCAGTATTCCCCTAACACGGTTAAGTCGTCCATTTCTGGGATATCTTATTTTTGTAAACTCCACAACCTTCCTGATTCAACACAATCATTCTTACTCAGAAAAACCCTGGTAGGCTTGGGCAGGAAAAATGTCCACGTCGACGAACGTAAACCAATCACTTTCACAACTCTGTCCAGCATCCTTAAATTGCTGCCCACAATACGCAAATCTCATTATGAAACTGTGCTGTTCTCAGCCATATTCTCAACAGCCTTTTTTGGCTATTTTAGGATGGGGGAGCTGGTTCAAAATTCAGCACATGACCCTGGTCACGCTATTCAAACCGGGGATGTAACTTATCAAAAACAGAACAATAAAGTCATCATTGTCCTTAAACACTCCAAAACTGATCAAGAGGGGAGGGGGGCAACAATTTCACTAACGACCACTTTGTAGGCAGTGTGCCCAGTGCGTCTAGTTTTATCATTTATGCACTTAAGACCTAGCATCCCTTCAGCTTTTTTTGCCACATCTTAGGTAGTCCAGTGACAAGGTATCAGATGTCATCTGTTTTCAATATGGCCTTAAAAAATTGGGGTTAAGCAAGCAAACTTATAAAACTCACTCCTTCCGCATAGGCGCAGCTTCAACTGCCTGGGCCAATGGGGCCAGTGAAAAAGACATTGCCAGTAGGGGTAGATGGAAATCTCACTGTCTGTACAAGTACATATTAACATGTTAATAACTCTAGCATCATGCATCTCGTTATTTTTTCTGTTGTCAAATCTTTGTAGGTGTAAAGAGAATATGGATCATTGGGTCTTCCATTGTTAAACATACATTTTGTTATGCCAGAAAATCAGTATCTGGCACCAACTTAGAATTAGACAGGCACAATGCTTCCATATTCTGGCAAGGCAAAGGGGGTATGAAGTTGGAAGACATCTTACCCAAAATTAGAACATTACTCAAGGTAGAAAATGCTCCTCACATGTTAGTTATTCATTGCGGGGGAAATAATATTCCATGGTATAGTGGGGGTAAGTCAGCAGAGCTGATTTACGTTTCAGATTAAAAGAAGTATTACAAAAATTAGCAAAATTGCTACCATCAACTTTATTAATATTGTCACAAATACTGCTACGTCTTCATTGGAGGGGGAGGTATTAACCATTCTGCTATGGAGAGAATAAGGGTCAGAGTAAATAACCATGTGGCTACTCACTTGTTAAGGTCTGGGGGAAAGTACATCAGGTACCCAGAGTTACATAGGGTCAACACAGGCATGTTTTCTAAAGATAAGGTTCACCTTTCTGAGATGGATTATAACTTGTTTTTGTATAGATTGCAACAGGCTTTGCAAGCGTTTTTGATGAACAATTCAGTTCACGTGTCCCCAAGAGATGGGGAAAAAGATTTTAGTCATGTTTACTATTTTGTTTACTGTCCATAGACTATTGAGGGTCGACTATGTATTTGTACCGACATGCACCAAGTCATATTTTGCTCTTGCGCATAGACTGTTGAGTGTCTATGTATTTGTATGTATATGTCTATGTATAGTCTTTTTATTTTCTTGGTCATCTTATTTTACGAAGTATTGATTAATTTCATAAATTACACTTATTGGAGGACATAAACATGAGTTAAGTAATTATCAATTTTAATATCAATCCCCTTTTATTTTTCCTACCGACTGCCCTACTGGTGGCGCAGCCAATGCTCAAAGCATAGGCTCGTGGCGGATATTTGGCTCACCAGTAGTGCCTATCCTATATTCTTAATATATGACTTGGTGCCCAATTAAACGAATTTGGAATTATTGTCCAAGCAAGCGAGCATCTGTTCCCAGGGCTCACCACTCATGCTTGTTTATTTTTGGGGATGCCAAATCAAGGCAATAATTGATGCTTGGCTCCCTTATTGTTTAATGCAGCAGTGGCCTATATCGCCAAATAAAAATAAATAATTAACTAGAAGTATTTTGTTATCTTTAGTATATAGGCCTAAGGTTAGAGCATCTTTTGATAATGTGATTTAACCACTCAAGGTTAAATCCGTTTATCAAAGTGCCATTAAGCTTTTTAATATTTCGGCTTTTGGGGGTAACCTTTCGGTCCTAGCCTTATACTAGTCCTGTTCTCGGGGTTTTGGGGTTATTAGTCAAACCAAAGCACCAAAACCTGTGACGTCGAGCGAAATAAAATCAAGTTTCTGAAAGATTTCAACCCCCCCCCCAACCACACCCCTTAATAAAAATAATATGTTGAAGGAAACTGCTGCCTTCTCGTGTTTCGTTCTCTTTTCTTTTTCAGATAATATAAAGCCTTAATCCATATCCACAGCAAGGCCTTGTCCAAATCGTCACGGCTGAAATCACATCCTACCTGGAGGAACATATTGCCCAGGCGGATATTTGGCTCACCAGTAGTGCCTAACCTATATTCTTGATATATGACTTAGTGCCCAATTGAATGAATTTTGCAATTATTGTCCGATCAGGCGAGCATCTGTTCCCAGGGCTCACCACTCATGCTTGTTTATTTTTGGGGATGCCAAATCAAAACAATAATTGATGCCTGGCTCCCTTATTGTTTAATGCAGCAGTGGCCTATATCGCCATATAAAAATAGATAACTAAATAGCAGTATTTTTTTATCTTTAATATAGAGGCCTAAGGTTAGGGCATCTTTTGATAACTATGTGGCTTTTGGAGACCAGGTCTTCCGACAATCTATTGGAATCCCCATGGGTACCAATTGCACTCTGTTATTAGCAGACCTATTTTTGTATTCATATAAAGCAGAATTTGTTCAAAATCTTATGCGTGAAAAGAAGAAAACACTTCCTGTGGCCTTCAACTCGACATTTAGATATATTGACGACGTACTGTAATTTAACAATGGTAATTTCCATTCCTATGTCGATGCAATATATCCTGGGTAGCTTGAGATAAAAGATACCACAGAGTCTGACACATCTGTTTCATACTTGGATATTTTACTTGAAAAAGACGTTAATGATAATCTTACAACCAAGCTCTATGATAAACGTGATGACTTTACTTTTCCATCCTCAACTTCCCTTG